ATTGTTAAATCCCAAGACATAAACTTAGAACTTCATTAATATGGTACATATATTGAGTTATAGATTTACAAATTGGATACTTGACCGTATTCGTCTTGTTATAATGGGATATCAGGCATTGTTTAACGAAATGAGGATGCAGAGTAAGAGATCTCGGCCACAAAACAATGAAGGTCATAAATCACAGTTTCCTCCGTATAACAGTTGCATCCTACGGCAGAAGCTTCGCGGCGGCAATCCGGCGCACTATCTAAATTGATGGTTTCCGGTGCACATTAGAGCAGAGTCTATCGCGCAGCTGTCTGCGTACGCGACACACTTCATTTGCCACTGCGCGTGCGCCCCGTAGAAAGTGACGCTTTGTCATCGTCCACACTCGCCCAAAATCGAACAAACTAACGTTAGAAAGAGACAAATAAATGCAAGTCGGTGCAAGGTAAAACGAGAGGGTCTTTCATTGTGTGAGAACACTGAAGTCGCACATTTGGCGTGTTGGCATCCGCGCACTCTGCTTCACGGTTTGTTTGATCTCGCACATCGGCAGGATTCTGCGTCGACAGCATTATCCGGACAATATCTGAACACTAATTTATCGGAGCGGACGTTAGTTTCTGGACATAGAGATTGTGATCGAGGAGGCATCTCGTAGCGGTCATCATCTATGTTTACCATAATAATCGGTCACCGAACCGTGCAACTACATAATTGAATGTAATTTCCGGTGATTTAATCATTACAGATCCATCAGCTGACACAGTTACAGTCAAATGAAATATATTAGTAGCAGCCGTAGAGATAAATTTCAGCTTCAATAGTTATTTTGTTACCTATAACAGTTATTTAAATTATTATTAAAAGTCTAATTCCAATAATGTACTTTTTGCATAACTATGACAAATATTCAATGTGACAAGATTTTTGTTATTAATACGGTCCATATTAGTCGCACACGTGGATGAGTCTATAACAATTAATTTCGTCTAGAAGACCGTACAGTAGAAGAGACTAAAACACATGAGAGATCGGGTTACGGTCGTTAATCAAAGCAGCCGACTAGGAAGAAGATAAAAGATAACTCGTCTTTGGCGACAAAAAACCCGAGAGTTGAGTGACGACATGCAGCCGACGACGACGGCAGCGGCCCTCACTCCTCCTAATGGGCTTTTTAGACACGTTAACAACGTTCCACGAGGCTGTTTTCAGTTCATCACTCCTAGAACATTGAACTCTTCTTAATTTACAGATAAATATTTCGCTGTTTGTGCCAACGGACAATCTTAAAGGTGCAGAGAGAATACTCGTTTTATTAGTCATCAGAAAAGGTTAATTAAAACCGAATATTTAGTATCTCCCACAGGTTTGTGGAACACGGATGAGTCAGTGGTCGGAAGGATGATAAATAATCGTTTAGATCGGTCATTGATTACGTCACCATTGCCGCTGTTCAAATCAATATTTTTTGTACCGAGACAAAGATTGTTAAATATAGACTCGGTAAAAAAATTATAGAACTTACTGTTGTAGTAAATATTGTAATCATTCACTCACCTGAAACAAAGTAATGTAACATTAGATAAGTTGTATAAAACGTAGGGCTAACCAAGAACAATGGGCGTAGAGAAAGGCCAAAATAAAGGTCAGGGCTGCGGCGAGTGTCCCATTAAATATTCATGGGTGTATTCGCGTATTGTATGACAAAGAACATATTTTTAATGCGCTTGGTGCAATAAGAGAGGGCAATAACGCTTCAACACAGAACTCGGATCATAAAATGGTACAAGGTGACATTGAGAATGCGTGAATTGACCGGCGCTGACGACGGAGGCGTTGTCTCTCAAGTTTTTAGTTTGGCGTTTCCTGGTATTCAGATATTTTTAGAAACTACGTTAAATATTTGCAGGATCTTAAAGGTAATTTAAGAACGCATTCTAATTTGTTTTTCGAATAAATGCTTAAAATTTCGCTTACGTTTACTTTAAGAAAACGACCTCTGCAAATATTTTGGAATAAATATGCTTCTCTCATTACAAAAAGTTCGTGTTAAGTCCAAACCTTATTGGTCTTCCCCTGCTGCGTCGTTGAATAAAATCTTCAGTTATCTCAGTTAAGTATATTTGAAACTATCCCCTCGATTATTTCCCCACTTGTGCCACATGAAGGTATCGTGGTTGTGCCGCGGGGCGGTGCACGAGCCTGCACGGTTATGCTAATGCACAGCTGCGCCTTCTCAGACCTGTGCTCGCCTGACCACCCCGCAAGCACTTACAAAGTTGCACAACCAGCGTCTACGTATCCACCTAGACAACGATGCTCAAATTCCCAACAAGTTATGTGGTTATACTAAACCCAGATTAGAAAAAATTATATGGTAGTAGATAACCAATCTGAGTAGTCAGCTAATGAGAATAATAGGGATAAGATCTTACGTGTCATAAGATTTAATTACCCTAATTCGTCATCCGAAATTATCGGGAAAATCAGTATATAGCATTAGTTATAATACTGATATTCCTTGGTCCGACCCTTTTGTTTATAAATAAATAAGTAACACCTATTGATAATATAAAATAATCACATAAATCCTTCCAACAAAACAAACTTAAAATTAATGAGTGACCTTAACAACGTTACCTAATTATTATTCAAACGTTATGAAATTAATGGATCACGTAACCGTGTAGCATTTTAATCGCATAAATCAATCTACCTAGCGTATTTTTAAGTAAGTTGTGAATAAGCTAAGCATTAATTTCTGATCATATAGTAAGTAGAGAACTAAGTGTGTTCAGTGTGATGTGTGGGGAGTTGGCGCGGCCGGCGACGGCTCCAATTACCCGCCCCGCTGCGCACGCGCCGCCGACTACGCTGCCCTTGGACTAGCTGCTTACTTCACACACGATATAACCAAAACAAAATATGTTCAGTTCAAACCAAACATTCGGAATGGAATGCTGTCTGGGTTTAAGTTAGAATAAGCATAAATTAATCTAAACCCTGAATACCGCATCGGCGCGGTTCTCATCTATCCGTCTGCGCAAATAAGCAGAGTGCAGCGGTCGTAATCCTGGCTGATTGTAACGTATGGGGGATAGATCCGCGCGGCCGACAGACAAATTCGCGCGGTCCTCTCCTTCGCGATTAGCATGACATTCCATTTCTTCGCCGGATTGAGCCGTCAGGGGCTACATGAGATTTACGGCGGCGATAGCGAGCGCCCTTCCGCCGTGCTGATAAATAGCCTCTCTAATTATATTTACGCAGCGCCGGTCGACGTGCTATAAATCCTCACCGTGGTATGCAGGAATAACATCGCCGTTTACAGCCAATACGAGCCGAATCGCAGGATCCATCATCGCTGACGTGAGTATTAGGCCGAAATTAGTAAACTAGCGATAAAATGTAATGCATTTCAGCATTAAAGTCAGCATCACTTACACAAGTTTAGTGAGCAGCACGCTCCACAAATCATGTCGTATAAATAGAACACATTCTTAGGCAGGATGCACGTGAACGTGACGCCCGATACCGTAGCTCCCGACTGGATGGAAATACTCCGGAAGTGTACAATTAAAGACAAGCGAGATGCGTATGACGGACGAGTCACTGAACTCGATCCAAGGTTATGGAAGGGAGTGTAAATAGTCTCAACGGCGAACCGCATCCATCAAGCATGCAAACAGTGTAACCGAGACACGTCAATATTAGGCCGAGACCTTTGCACGGGTAGATAGGTATTGCCAGCTCAACGCATTTGCATCCATACAGATAACGACGATAAGAAAAATTATATTTGTAGGTAGAGTGAAGTTAATGACGCACGCCAATTATGTATACAAAAATGATATAATACCAAACTAAATTCGTACGTGTTAGTAGAAGAATCGCGATCGGCATGTTTGTAGATTTGTACCCGTGAACTGGTTGTCCATGAAATTGCAACACGATAACATTATATTATTAATTATTATCTATTTAACTAAATTCAATAATATTTAAATAAATAAAATGAATGACAACTAATATATAAGACTTGTCCGTATATCTCATTTTGGGAAAGTCCACTTGTTACATAATAAAATCTCATAACTTTGTGATTCATGCTAACACGTCTGATTCAGGCGAAAAGCAATTGAGCTCACTGGGGCATCTATCTAGACTAACACTAACGTATAGCGACCACGTTGAATCTAAAACTATAGTATAATATGTATTTTTTCTTTCAGGTTCAATAAACACAATTTTATACTAAGCTAAATGAAACATGCTTATTTACTTTGGTCAATAACGTAAACCACACAGATGTAAAGAATAACAAAGCGTGATTAACTATTCAGAATATTCTACGATATCGTATTCTAAAATTAGTCCACGACACAAGTCTAATAGGCGATGCCATCTTGCGGGTGCATAGTGCATATCCAAGATTGTTCTTACTAAATATATTGTCAACGATAGACAGGACTGCGCCGTAGTCGTCGAGCCGATCATATCGCAGGAATAATCTAGGTATGCGATCCATCCAGTTATTTTGAGACTTGGATCTTCTCGCCAACACAAATATAAACATACAATAACCGCCTCTCCTGATGAAGTAATAAGACCGTTGTTATTATTGCATCGAGTGCAGATCCTATAACTAAACGCGATAAGGAAGACCGAGTCGCGTATCATAATCAGTCAACGTTTAATTTATACAACTTGTCAAGCGAACAGTTTCTTAGCTGCTTCGTAATTAGGTATATCGAGATCTGAGTATTACTGCCCATATCTAGACACCGAAGGTCGGCCAGACTTTCGCTACGTAGCGACGCTGCGTGGCCACATTATGCCAAGTGGCCCAACCCGAGTGTCGGAAAATCTAGTCGCCTACACGAATGCGCGGTTAATACACGATGCAGACACTGCGCTGCGGCGATCACATTACCATACAGACAATCTAAAAGTCAATACAGGAGCCGTGTTGACATTGGCCCACCGTTACTGTTGGTTTTGTAACGATATCAAAAACCCGCATTCCAGCGGCTGTGTTGTTGAATGAGAGGCTCGATTGTTCTCGAGCGGCAAGCGAACGCCCACGTGCGTCGAGGTGTCGCGCTGATTGCACAACCAGCGGTCGGAGCACGCCCGCCTGCGATCCCGACACAGGTGACCATTTGCCCGACGACCTTGCGAATGAAGGACAAGTCCATCGACCATAGCCATCTGGACGTGTCGTTAAAGAATTACCATAACTACCTCAAAATTAAATCATATTTTCCAACCAATATTGATGGGACTAGATACAGTCGTAGCTACGTTCAGGAAGGTAGAAGTAGTAAAATGGATCATGGGTTAAAAAAATTGTTTTTTATCCCAACGCAACGGTAGATAAGGTATGGTATATGCGGCGGACGCGCTGGCCTCGCTCGCGTGCCGCTGCATACGGATCGGGTTTCGTTCCGCAAACTCGAGATAACTGCAGCACACCGTCGAGACTCAGTGCATATTAGGAGCCGACTTTGACACATATGCAGCAGTAGCCTTATTGTAGTCTCTTACTACTGTTGTCTTATTGAATAAGAAATGTGAGGTTATGCTTTAGTCAAATAACTAATTAAGTTTCTTGACCGCTGCGTGTTGGTTAGTCATGATGCCAGAGCATTCCGAATGTCTAACGGGCTACGTCTAAAAACAGCGTTCTAATAATCGACACTCGATCTAAAATAGCCTCGTGACAAACGAAACCGAAAGTGATGCGTGATGCAACGGACCCGAATTTAGCTGGTGCAGCCCAGGGCGGTGCATCGGCCGCGAGGGAACGCTGAGGCCGGCGCCGCGGGTGCCAAACGGCTGGCATTTCGCACTAATGACACGAATAAGATATTAGCACGGATAGCTTGCCAGTCGGCGCCGGCATCCAACTCAGGTATTCGGGCCGATCGTAGAATCAAAATTAACTAAATAAACCGCGCCCGATTTCGATCAACTATCTAGGTAAGAAGGTAAGTGAATTTTAATCATTTGTGATTATATATCAAACGGTGGATTTCCGGATCCAGCTTAACAGTTTCACATAATGTGAAAAAATAACCGTTATGTCACCACATGACTCTTATTCAATAATTCAACTGCGTAATGCGATTGACTCGGAGGTGTCGTTGATATGCAAAGCCTGTTGGGCATAATCGTCTGCGTGCATGTGCAGTGTGCATACGTTTGTAAGGGCGTGTACGGAGGGAGGCAAAGCGGCGGTGACACGGCGGCCGCGGGTCGGAGGTCCGGCCGCATTCCGCCGCCGCGCCGCATGAAAGTGAAACCGCTTCGACGACCAACCGCTCAGCTGTAGAAAGTCCACGATTACATCTCGCCAGCGCCGGCGTCGCCGGACGAGCAAAAACTGCTATCGCGTCGAGTCGCGCCGGGCTCCCGGGAAACGAGGCGCCCCGGGCGACGCTGCGTGGAGAAATTGCCAATAACCGCTGGCGGGCGCTAAATGATTCCTTTCATTTACCTACTCAAACGCCACTCGGCCATACCTTGTTGAAATGTTAAATTTCACTTAAACTAACCGTAACCAAGTGACCGAGGGCTATTTCCGATAGTTGACTTTTGTAAACATGAAATAAATGGTTTGAAGCAAGTTTTTTTCTCCAACACGATTATTACGAGGTTATAAAATTATTCATCCTATGCACATTCAGAGTCCACGAACTAACTAGTTATTTGGGTCAATGGGAGGTGACCTGTATAGACGTTAGTTACTACTGACTTGCATTAAGGTAATCTTTGAAAAATAATTTACATTTCAAACATAGGTAGGTAATTTTTCCTTAATCCTGCAATTGGTCAATGACGTTTGTCGTAATAGTTATTGCGCGTAGCACATTTATTATAGGTTTACTAAGCTTCCCCGGACTGGTTTAAACGCTAGCCCAAGTTTGTTGCCACTAATATCCATTTGCGGACTCATATGACGACCACTCCTTTATTGGCGTAGTAGTTCAGTAGTCTGTTTGCAACGGAAACATACTTAGTAAATACGTGAACCTAATGAGCAACACTAAACGATGACTTTGTGAATGGTAATTAAAATCAATTCTTCGTACTAATTTCATATGGGTTTCTAATAAGCACGGAGCATTCCAAGGAATATTTAATGCATGCTTCGATTTTATGTATGTACCTAGTTATGTACGGGTTAAGAGTCGATAAACGATTGTTATAGATGTTATTTTGTGATTTTATGGTAACTAATACTTGACGTTGCACCGTAGGAGATCCAAAGAACGGCTATTTTTTTTCGTTTCGAAACCAAGGGGTAAAACTGGAAGGGATATTGTATATATCAGAGAACTGAGCTCGCATATTGACAACATTGCGTTGTAGAGTATCTGCGAAAATCTAAGTGATTTTTATAAAAACTGTCCCACTACAAGACTACGACACACGGTGACGGGAAAAGGCATCATTTTGCCAACCAGAAGAACTTGTCGGTAGCTGGCAGCCGGTATAAAAGAGGGGAGCATACTAATCATTTGACAAAAACTACAATTAACTGGTTGGCAGCTAAGTAGGACCGGTAGTAAAGAACGGTACTCCCCGTGACTGCACCGTCACGAACTAAAGAAATGGACGGTTTAGAATGATGTAAATTAAATGTTCGTATAATAATGGCATGATATGGCAAGCGTTTTCATGCCAATAGAAATAATGCTTTTATTTGCACGTAAAAGATTTTTTCTGAAAACAGCAAAAATGTTAAAACTTTTGCAGTCGAGAGTTTTTTTCAGTAAATCCAAATATCATATAAGACACATGGGAAGTGTATGTGGTAAAGAGCTTCAACTCCTAAAACGTACATAAGATACTTTTAAATTCAACTTCAACGAAAAGTTAATGTGTGGAGCACAATTTATACATGTGTTAAAGTAACGTGGTACAAAAATAACACAACACAATGATATCAATTAGCTACGCTACGTGTGATATTCATATTCTAGTACTATTTATGTATTACACTTATTTATCGTAATCAAAACCGTCTGCAACTCGAAACAACTGTATGAATATATGATGTGTTCTACGTCACACACACATCATAATTATTATACCTACATTTAATATTATGCTGACGTGCAACGATCCTTGTTAAATGAAACTCAACTCAGCCGCGACTGTTAACTAAAAATGCACTTTATAACTATATCAATAAAATAAGATCTTGTTTTGATTTCTTTACTAATGTGATGATTTCAGGAAGATTCGGAATTGAATGTTCGTTTAATTTACTAATGACGCAGAAATGACATTATTAGTTATTGGTAAGCATTACACCTGTTTTGGCCGTAATCGGGAGAGGTTTATTATCTTATACTAATCACATCTAATAGTAAGATTATTTTATTTGTATTGTACAAGTGGCTACATGGAAATATTTGGGCAAGATATTGGATTCAATAGTAACAAATAAGTTTGGTAATTAGGTAGACGTTACATGTTTTGTTTTTTCCTCGGCTAGGTTTTATCCCGGGAAAGCTTACCTTACTTGCCCGCATTTTGAACACTAGTTTACATACGATTATTGTTGGATTAAACTATCTGTCCACTTTTAGTATAAGTACCTATTACTTCTACGATAATGACATCAGAGTAGATGAACGCAATCAGCTGATTGAAGTATGTACTTAGGTACAAGCAATACTTGAACAATATTAAGGTAAATAAAGTATTGATTTAGAATATTCAGATTACTTGTTAATATTAATTTCATTGTTTTATGCAATATTGATTAATATGTCACCAGTCTTATACTATCGAGTATAAATTATAATAACAGTGCCTTCTAAATTAATTAATTCATCAAACTAGGTCGGGTAATCAACTTCTTGCGACTAACAATACATTGATTTAAATACAGTATATTTGATATTATTATTAATTATTAGGTCTATCATGTCAACCAGTGTAACGATGTATTTATTATTAGGAAGGTTAGTTATCTATCGCAACGCAATTCAAAGTAATTAGAGGAATCTCCAAGTAGGTACCTCCATATATATAAACTTTACAGTTTTTTTTAAATCTGTTTTTCTCAACTTTTTAAAATCCTTATACCTCTAGCTAAGAAAATACTTAATTGTTTAGGACAAATCGTGTTCTACTTAGTACACTTACTACCTGACACCAAGATAAGATAATTCAGTTATTTTTTCGTAATCTTAATCCACGTTAGCGTGTTAAACCTGGCGCCTTACTCAAAATTCTTCACAGTCGTACAAAGTATTCTCGTGTAGAGTATTTCAGTGCATGTAATCAATATAATGTAATTTTCGGTACATGCAATCAAGTATTGTGGTATAATTCAATACCGTGACAATTTGATTTTTACACGCGTTTTTCAATTCGATTCTGTAAGAGAATCGACCTCTAAAATGGGACAGTACTGTTAAAATGCGCTAAGATAACTCAAAAAGTATTAAACTATGTAATAGGTTTGTATGGGTTTTAGAACTAGAATGGTAATAAAATTCACGATAGTAGGTACCTATTGTTGAAGTAAGTAGTAGTGGATGTATTGATATGTAGCTTAATGATGATGATTATTATGAATAGCGAATCTATAAGACTCAAAAACTTGTATTTACCTACGTACCTAATGTATGTTCTTAACATAGATTATATTATGACAAGGGCACGGACTAAGAGTCCGTGGAGAATTAATCTGTAATATATTAACAAAAAAACATTATATTCCGCAAAACTAAATACTTTAAAACTAAGTACCTACCCACGTCAACCGAACCGCACAGAAAGATGGCAGCTGGCAAATAAAGGCGGGAAAACGGACATGCAAGTTGCAACGACAGAAAGGCTGAATGGTCGGGTTCCTCGACATTTGACCACAATGCCGGCTTTGTGTTCGTATGCATGGCGCATATTCTCGACAGACTGATTGATTCACTAATTAAGTCACGTTGGGCGACAGGGCGGCTACTTGAGGTTTAATGGGAGACTGATGTCATGGTTTTGAGAAACAAGGTTGAGGTGTAACCAAGAAGCGAGAAAGTTAAATTAGGCACACTTTGCTTGCAAAAATGGTAAGCAAGTAATTTTGTTAAGTGGTGTACCTTCTTCCTAATAAACAATAGCACAGGTATCTATGGGTAGGTTTTTAAATAGTTTGGTATCAGACCAGTAATTGTATATTTACATAACTAAAATAATGATTTGTATTAGGGTACTAAAGATGATTACAACAACATTAATTACTTTTCCATTTGATTGGATATTTTGCGCTATGAATGTCAATTGTACAATGTGTTATTTAGTTATTTTATTTGTAACAAGCAAATTGCATATTTTGTGCAACATTATCTAATTAGCTATAGCGGTTAAATAAACAGTAATTATTATAACAGTCGGTAATTACCGTTAGTGTAACACATTGTACAAGTTTATAAAAAATAAAAGATAACAAATCAGAATTTTAATTATTGTCAATGTCATGATGATACCTTGTAAATGAAATAAAACTGTTATCATCTTCAAACAATTCTTATTACATCAATGAAAACTTCTAGAAATATAGTTTTAAAAAGATAAAGTTTAGTTTTTGGGCAAACAAGATTTTATGCATGTTTGAACACTATGTAACATCTGTATATTTGCATTGAAAATTGTTTTAAGTCTTCTTTATAGCGAAAAATACTTGTTATCAATGTTATCTTGCTCCTTCACACTCATCACTCATTATTATCAAGAACATGCTGATAAACACTGTAGCTTTGCCATTTTGTAACCATAAAGAAAACAATATAAATTGCACTAGGCACAGGTATCTTCAACTCTGCCAAGTTATATCTATTGTATTGGCTGTAGGACACGCAGTTATGATAAAGTTTTAGATTACAGACTGCCAGCCACATTCTGATAACAATAATATGCATGAAATATTACTTTAATGACACTTTTATCCACTTTTTTGAAACTTAAAACACATTCCAATAGCCAAACTGATACCCTTTATCTCATTCCTAGTAAGAATTCATTAAAACTTGTTAAGTTAACAACACAAAAAAGTTTGTAAATAGTTTAACAACTTTGACAGCTGTATGTGTGGGTAGGAGTGTGGGACCAATCTATCAAGACCAAGTATGCACGCAAAAAAACAAAACGTGGTTTTTGCTTGCAGTTCCTTTGCTTGCGTCCTTAGCTACATTCACGAGTAATGAAAAAAAAACTTATTGTTCGCAGTCTGTCGTCAGGTATACGAAGTTTACAAGTTTAAAAGTTAGTTTGTTTACCTTGCAAAGGGTGTTTGTTCGACGTGGTAGACGGAGGTGATGGGCTCTGTGCGCATGAGGCTGCGGAGCCGCTCCTCAGGCAGCTCCAGCAGTCCATCACTGGCAGTTTTGAAGTCAGCTTTACTCAAACCACTTAAAACACTCATTTTTAAAACGTGTAGACGACTACCGACCGAGTCGAAATCGAAACGGTTACAACTCAAAGCGTCACTAAACGAATCACAATAGTCCTTATAACAACGTATACACTTATTAATGTAAAAAATGGCATCAATTAGACCACATGAAACATTTTAATGCCTCCGGTTTCTCAAGAGGTAACCGAGTGCTCTCCGTTGTCATTGCGAGAAACGGTTACAGATTCATTCAAAACGCTCCACTTTGAATCGGCACGATAATTAAACAAACTTCAGTTTCACTTCATAATATTGTAATGAAAAATTATAATTTGTTTATTTACACACGCGTTCCGGAAAAACTAAAAATTGACAAGCGCTGCGGGACAGCTGCGCATCGACGAGTCGACCGCACTTCGCCGTACACGTATCTGACGTTCCGTTGAGACTCGAACCGAGCCTGCCCATACCATTCAAATTCCGACTCCAGCGAATGTCGTTGTTCCAACGTTCTAAGTTCGAAAGTTGCAAAGCAAGGTCAATGTGTAAATAACTTAGGAGTTTTATTTCTCAACAATAGATGGCGTGTTTTTGCTATAAAATAACATTCATTCACGCAGTGTCTAAAAGATGGCGGTAGTAACCTATGCAACAAGTGGTTTACAAAATATGTTTTACATTTCACCTATTTCGTGGTATAAAAGGCAAAGGCATTCTAGTTACTTCATAATTATTTTATAATATTAATAAAAATCATGCGTAGCAAATAGGGTATGTAGCGACATCTAGTGGTGATTAAGAAATAAACATGATTTAAGTTTGTGAATCAAATTCTAGATGGCGGTTATTTATAAAATACGATTTTGAAAATAAATATTTTACAGGCGTTAAAAAACGGGGGATCGCGAGACGATTTCTGACCACCGTAAGCATGGGCCTCCGGACGGTGAGCAAGGGTAGCTCGCCGCTCGATCAAACCAGACTTACTCTTACAGGTAGCGTATGGCACGTCGCGTTTCGCGAAAGAATTATAAAATTCGAAAAAGACATTAAAACGGAGTGTTAAAAATTAAAATAGAGCATAAAGATATTTTTATTTTCGAAATTCTCATCCTTTAAATAAATATGGGAAAGTATTTCCATTTTTTATCATGGGATCAATAATAATTATTGTGATATAACACATATACCTACATAGCTGGAGAAAACTGTTGGCCAACACCCAGTATTGGTATTTCAATTTCAAATCTTCAAGAAAATGAATATCTAGCCACACAAAACTAGGAACTTATTTTCTTTTAAATAAAACTAAGAACAATATTCATTTTAATAAAGACTTTATTTTATCAATTACCTACTTAGGTAAGGAATTTAATACAAAATACAATCAATTAATTAATAAAAATATTCATAAAATAAATTATTTTCTATTCTTCTGCCAGGCCGCATTGACGAATTCATTTAAAAGTTGCACGCCTGGTAGTAAGATCTTCTTAAATGATGGGTGGTCTTCTAAACTGGATATCCACGCAGCCGTCAGGGGAAACCTTTAGCAAGAGAATATAGATGTAGTTTCATTCATCATCTTACCAGTCCCGTATGTATAGGAATTTTAATAATGGAGAGCTTGTCGTAAACTTAGAAAATGGAGAAATTTTCGGAATACCAATAACCTCTCGCGTGTTTCTTGTACACACGGGTGTACGAGAGAGTTGAGTGCCCATCGCGCAATTGTACACACGGGTGTACGAGAAACGCGCACCGATTGGATATTTTTTCTGTGACGTATATTTTCAAGTTTATACGTAAATATATTTACGTAAATATTTACCCGTGTGTACGAGACCGCGCGTTTACCTGTGTATACGAGGGGCGCGCGAGAGGATAAAATAAGTAAGACCACAAGGCAGTCTAAAACATTGAGGATGATAAACTGAACTCACGAACAATACTTACTTCGTAGCATCCAGCTTATGGGCAACCTGAATGGATATGGCAGTTGCACCAACGCTCAGGTCCGCGAGAGTTAAGTGGTCGGCTGCAATGTACTTATGATCTTTCAAGTATGCCTCCAATACGCTATATGCCGCATCTATTTCTGCTTTATGCTGCTCTGTAGGACCGTCCAAGTCTCCGAATACAGCTGGTAACTGGAAACAGTTGAACGTTGAAAAAAAGGAAATTTTAATTCACACCCTAATACAAGTGACATGTAGGTACATAATATGTTGTTGGCACAATAAGTTTTAGACATAGATTTAAATTTTAGGTTCAACCCAATTACCCAACATTACCTATAACGCTGTAACGACGCCACGTTTTTGTATTTCGGGTGCAGCTAACCGTAGCGTTCAATAATTGTTTAATTTAAACTACTTTTAAAAAAAGGCATTTATATGGCAATAGGCTCACCCCCTATTACATGGGACTCATAAAGTCATAACATAAATAGTGAAAAGTGGGTGTTACATTGTACAGTGGTATACCTAATGTGCACCTCTGCCTAACCTTTCGGGGATAAAAAAGCGTGATGTTATGTTGTTTTAAAAAAGCACCGACTTCAACCCTCTCTTTTTTGAAGTTGGTTATTAATAATTAATACATTACCAAAATCTTCTTCTAAGTGTAACAAACAATTTCTGAAAACCTCATCGAAATCGGTTCAGCGAATCGCGAGGTGAAGAGAATAGATGAAGAGTTGAACACATGATTGATGATGACCTCACTTCTGCTTTAAATGAGGAGGCCTATGTTCAGTAGTAGATGTCTTGTGCCTGACATGAAAGATAATGATGCAGTTCCCATATGTGGCATAAAATAACTTTAACACGTTGAACGCCATGGGGGACAACGTATGGGCCACGCTAGCGGAGGATTTACTTTCAACGGTTTTCTGTCGGCAGTCAAAGTCTTAAGCGCTAATAATTTAAAGACATTTCATTTTCAGAACTTACAACACAGCCCAGCAGCTTCGGGAAGAAGACGCCAGCGTTAAAGAACATGCACTGGTCGACTACAGCGCGCGTGCGCACGTCGCTCGGGTATAATGACTCGCGCAGTTCATAATCACTATACACTGATAGCAGGTACTTCATGGTTGCGTGGCTGGTAAGACAGGGTTTAAGTATTAGTTTCGAAGATAAATCTTTGTTTACACCTTTAAAAACTTGTACCTACCTAGGTAGTGAACTTTGGGTATACAAGTGAAGATCGAGTCGTTCTAATTATTTTTAAGAGCCGATAATGTACTTACCTACTTCTACATATTGTTGAAGTAGGTACATTATCGGCTCTAAGTAGCCACACGGAGAAGGTTTGAGCATTTAATCACCACGCTTGCTCAATGCGGGTTGACTATTTCAGACTTATAATTAGAAATTATAAGCCCAGGTTTCCTCACGATGTTTTCCTTCGCCGTTTGTCAGTGGTGTCTAAATAATCTTAGAAAGTACATATAACTCAGAAAAAGTCACATTAGTACTTGCTTTTTGTAGGTTTCGAACCTGCACCTTTATGCCCCTCCGGGCCACCAAGACCCTGATAGTTGTAATAATTTATAGACAAATAAATTGATGAACTCATATCAGATCCGAATAAAATGAGACACTATAAAAATATGTTCTGACTTATACCTATAGGTAATTTTAATTTAGTAAATATTAATAATTAATGTACCTTTCAGAGATGATGAAGTCGCCATCTATCAATGTCGGGATAGTTCCCATAGGATTGCGCTGTAAAATAATCATGTAGAATTAATTAAAACTCACAACAAACGTTGTATAGAGACTTGCTAAGGCTTGCGACCATAGCCAGTCAGTTCATAACTAAAACATTAATAATATAGAATGTAAATAAAACGCTTCCGAAAACGGAGCCATTTTTTTTGTTGTTACAATTTTATTTGTTTTTTTTTATGTTATTCATGCCGATATGCAGCCTTGAGCAACTGCTCAATTGATTACAACTTTTATTACAAAAAAGAATAATTAAAACATTCATTAGGTATTTTTTAAATATTAAAAAAATTCATTACTTTTTTAAATTTGTTTTTTCGTAAAAGCGTTTTACTTAGACCCGGTATAGTCTATATCGCTTCTAGTTCCTTCAAACCTTCAAGAAAGTATTCTTTTTTAAAAGGCCGGCAACGCACCTTGAATCCTCTGGTGTTGCGGGTGTCCATGGGCAGCACTGATCGCTTACCATCAGGTGATTCGTCTGCTCGTTTGCTTTCTATTCCATAAAAAAATGTTATACCTTCAAATGTTCAGGTGACTTATGTTCCATGTTAGGTATGCTGACATCTTTAAGGTCAAGGTGCAGACCAATGATATCAGCCAACATCCGCACTGCATTCGCTGGAGGACTCGTGTTGCTTTTGTACAACAGTGGCGCCATTTTGTTTACTAAAAAAATCCGATAAGAATATCAACATTTCAATTTAAAGAATTTTAAAATTGAGAAATATACAGTTGATACTCTTTTTGTTTGGGGAATGTTCTTATGAAAGAAAGTAGACGTGATATTTTATCATCGAATCATTGAGAAATAGCTAGAGAAATATGGTGAAAATGTAAACGAATAATAAATGTAATCTAAACGACACATCCAATGGTTATCGCAACCCACAACAGATGTCTTGGTACAAATTATTATTTTATCTTGAATAGAATTAACTTGCACGAACAATTTTTAATTATTAACTATGTAGTACCTACTTACTTATTCTTTTATTTAATTTTTTTTAAAACGTTGTCTTTTTAAAGCTACGATTTTATTCTGTGTTTTTTTAAGGGGGGATAATCATCGTTTTACTGCTCCCGCCTGGGTGAGGCGAAAGGGAGTGTCTAACTGAACTGACTGACTAAAAACCACCCCGTTTCTTCTCCTGCACTTCTTTTCTTTTTTCTTCTGTGTTGTAGGTACGTTTACAAACATACAAGTTCACATACTCATGACACCCAGACCAGAAACAACAGTTTGTGAATCACACAAAGAGTTGTTCCTTGCGGGAATCGAATCCGCGACACGTTGCACGGCAGCCGGTTGCCCAGCCACCGCACCCACGGTTGGTGCAAAACTTATAAATTAAAAATAACACAATTATAAATTAAAGTTTAAATTAAATTCACAGACACAATATGGGTACCATTTATTCTAATAAAATAAAAAAGAAATAAAGCTCACCGTTCGCTTCGATCGAAGTTATCGAACTAAGCAACTAATGCAGCTTTCACAAAAATCCAAAAGAACACAATACAAACACATAATACATGTAATCTCAAGTTACACACGGCAGTTCACACGGTCCTAAACTCTTATCATTGCATTACACTGATAAAAGTAAAAATAAATATGTTTATATCAACAAACAATGATTTTGGGTTTTTTTATGATACTTAAGCCGGTAAACGAGCAAACGGACCACCTGATGGTAAGCAATCGGCGTCGCCCATGGACACCTGGAGGCGTTACAAGTGCGTTATCGGGCTTTTGGGGATTAAGAATTTGAGGATTGGTGGGGTTTCAGGGATTGAGGAGATTAGGAATGGGGGGGGGTTATTAGGCCTCCAGTAACCTCACTCACACGACGAAACACAACGCAAGCGTTGTTTCACGTCAGTTTTCTGTGAGGTCGTGATATCACTTCGGTCGAGCCGGCCCATACGTGCCGAAGTATGATATTCCCACACTTTATTGTTATTTTTAAACAGATGCAATGTCATGGTACATGATAATAGTTACGCCCCCCCTCAAGAGACTTAAACTGTAAAGAAAAGTGATCTATGAGGTGTATTTCATTGTTTACTTGTCCTCACTGATGTGTACCTCATTTCAATGTACCTCATTGGCCCAGTGGTCGCAAGTGCGACTGCCGAGTAAGGGGTATCGGGTTCGATTCCCGGGTCGGACAAAGTACTACTGGGTTTTAAAAAAAATCACAGTAGTAGCACGGTGTCTGGAATTGTGCCCGGTATATGGCAATAGGCTCACCCCCCATTACATGGGACTAATAACATAAATAGTGAAAAGTGGGTGTTACATTGTACAGTGGCATAATGTACACCTCTGCTGCCTACCCCTTCGGGGATAAAAGGCGTGATGTTGGGATATGTTATGTTATGACTTCTCCTATGGGTGAGGCGACAGGAAGCGTCATACCCATATTGACTAAAAACCACCACGTTCCTACTTCTGCTCTATAAGCCGGAGCTCCGGCAATCTGTTAAGTCTTCCGCGGCTCCGGATCGGGCATCAGCCCTACGAGCCCTACTGGGTCTTATCTGTGGCGGTCTGCTTATGTCTTTTTAAGGCGCGTGCGCGGCCTGGTTCTGGTCGGACGGCGAGCTGTCCAAGCTTACACTCCGCTCATCTCATCTCGAAGTACAAAGTATAGCAATTTCGTTATTATTACTATTATTCTATTAAGTATATACTAAGTAAGGTATCCCACATATCGCTTTTTATAAGGATGGGAAATCATCAAATAACTGTTACTGTTACGGGTTACTTACGAGAATATAGAGGTACTGAGACAAGCTCTACTAGTTTCGAATCACAGAGGGGTTCTTCCTCATGAGCAGCGTGCTCGGCGATATCGCGCAGCTCACTACTCGAAACTAGTAAAGCTTTTCTCAGTAGATTCACGTGAGTACCTAACCCGCGATTTTAGTTAATTTATCATTGTTATTGTTATTAAATCAAGTAATTAACTAATACCACACGGCACCACGAAGTAACGTTATCACACTCTTATCAAGTTAAATAGCTCAGTAAGACATGTTATAATTTTGAACAGTCATTGTAATATTGTTGGTCATGATTGGGCTATTCCATAATCGCACGGCACCATTCTTTATCATGGTGCGATGGTGGGTTGATCTGCAGTCGATCATCGATCGATTGACATTTTGTGGGCGAATTAGTTTCGTGAACGATTCTTCAAATTGTAATGTAATTTGCTTGGCATTTTATAAAATTATGACTTTTGTTTCTTTATTTGGTTTGTCGATACTTGAAACTATGAGTTACACACGGATTTTTGTTAATTCTGACAAAAGTGAGTGTATTTTTTTATAATAGATTAACCATAACATAATATCACGCCTTTTTTCCCCGAAGGGTTAGGCAGAGGTGCCCGTTACGGCACTTAATGCCACAGTATAATGTAACATTTCACTACCTATGTTATGGAGTGAGACTATTGCCATATACCGGGCACAGTTCCAGACTCCGTGCTACTACTGAGAATTTATAAAAAATACTAATTCTTTGCCCGACTCGAAAATCGAACCCGAGACAAGGGCACTTGCAAACACTGGGCCAACGAGGCAGTTATAGGTTAACTAGTAATATTTTTTATTTTGTTAATAACATAACATCACGCCTTTTATCCCCGAAGGAGTAGGCAGAGGTGCACACAGAAGTGACACCCACTTTTCACTATTTATATTATGAGTCCCACATAATAGGGGGTGAGCCTATTGCCATATACCGGGCAATTTCCAGACTCCGTGCTACTACTGAGATTTTTTTAAAACCCAGTTGTACTTTGCCCTACCCGGGAATTGAACCCGAGACCCCTTGCCCGGCAGTCGCGCTTGCGACCACTCGGCCAACGAGGCAGTCTGTTAATAATGGTGGTCATAAATAGTAAGTAAAATAAGTAAATAATGTAAGTATAAGACCTGTGGGTTTATATCCAAGTTGCACACTGATTCTCAAACTGGGAATCCATACTAATATTATAAATCGGAAAGTGAGTTTGTTTGTTTGTTCCACCTTCACGCCGTAACTACTCAACCGATTGCTTTGAATTTTTGCAGACGTAAAGTTAGAAGTCCGGATTAAATAATAGAGTACTTTTTATCCAGGAAAAATTTGATATTCCCGAGGAAAACACAAAAGTATTGGTATAGATGGCGCTGTATGTATTGGTATATGTCACATAGGCTACTTTTTATCCTTTTGTGACGCGAGCAAAGCCGCGGGTAAAAGCTAGTGTCTTATATGTCAAAAATAAAAAACATAAATGATTATTTACATTTTATTATACAATCTATTTCTTCTTGTTCCGCTCCCAGGCCGCGTTTACAATATCTCCGAGGATCTTGGCGCCGGGTACCAGGTACTTCTGAACTGATGGGTGCTCTTTTAACTTGTCCATCCACGCAGCCGTCAGGGGGAACCTGGATAATAGAAAAACAAGGGTAACTATTAGACATTTTGGGTACTATATATTAACTATTAGTAAAGTATTAAGATCTTTTTCGATTTTAACTTTTCACAATTTGACTGCACGGTTGGTGCGGTGGCTGGGCAACCGGCTGCCGTGCAACGTGTCGCGGGTTTGATTCCCGCACGGAACAACACTTTGTGTGATCCACAAATTGTTGTTTCGGGTCTGGGTGTCATGTGTATGTGAACTTGTATGTTTGTAAACGCACCCACGACACAGGAGAAAATCCTAATGTGGGGCAACGTTTTTTTTTAACACAATACAAATTGTTTTAATCAATAATACAGGGTGAATTATTATGTTTTCGGCTTACTCACGTAGTAATTCGACGACGAGAAACTAGTCGAGTTACTCGTCAAATAATTACGTGAGTAGGTAAGCCGAAAACATAATAATTTATTTAGTATGTCTCACGAAAGTTACAATACAAATACAGGGTGAGTTTTACATGACTGTTAAAATAATATCATAGAGGATCGATTCGTCGTTCAAGGGGGTAGGTTAGAATTTTAAAGTCCACTTACTTGGCAGCGTCCAGTTTATGCAAAGGTTGCATAGAGATGGTGGTGGCACCGACACTCAAATCTGCAATGGTAAGGTGGTCAGCAGCGATGTACTTGTTCTTGGCCAGGTACGCCTCCACGATGCCGTAGGCCTCGTCAATGTCTGCCTTGTGTTTCTCAGTAGGACCGTCCAAGTCACCGAATATGGCAGGCAGCTGGACCATAAGAAATATAACTTAGTTTTCGTCCCAACGAAAAAAGGCTATATTTAAGCGAGAAACATAACATAACATAACATCACGCCTTTTATCCCCGAAGGGGTAGGCAGAGGCGCACATTATGCCACTGTACAATGTAACACCCACTTTTCACTATTTATGCTATGAGTTCTATGTAATAGGGGGTGAGCCTATTGCCATTATACTGGGCACAATTCCAGACTCCGTGCTACTACTGAGAATTTTTAAAAACCCAGTAATACTTTGCCCGACCCGGGAATCGAACCCGAGACCTCTAGCCAGGCAGTCGCACCTGCGACCACCCGGCCAGTCTCAAGCGAGAAAATCCGCTGATAAAAGCCAGTAAAGTCAAAGTCAAAGGCAAAATAATTTATTTCAATTAGACCATATGGTCTAATTGAAATGCCTATATAGGCACTTATGAACGTTAACAAAACAAATTAAAAGTGAAGAATGAAATGAATACTAGCACAAATACTACCTATATTTGCCAACCCGCATTGAGCACGCGTGGTGATTAATGTTCAAACCTTCTCGTGTGAGAAGAGGTTTTGCTCAACAGTGGGCATTTATAGGCTGTTGATAAATACTTACAACAACAACTTTGAGCCTGATGAAGAATATGCCGACATTGAAGAACATGCACTGGTCCACTATGGCGCGCGTGCGCACGTCGCTCGGGTACAGCGCCTCGCTCTTGTCGCCGCCGTACACTGAGAGAAGGTACTTCATGGTGGCGTGGCTGGAAAGAAACTATTTACATTTAGGGCATAATAAAAAGTAAACACAATATTTATTAAATAAAAAATAAAACTGCAAGTATGTTATAGACTATGGGGCGACACAATGTCACAAATCAACGGATGACGTCAGAAGAATCCTACATTTCATTTGCAAAGTTTAGAAGCGAATAAACATGGATAGAAAATCCCAACGAACAACTGTCGGTCGTGCAGAAAGCCCGCCAGGCTGGATCAACTAGCTTGGTCGGAGGATCCTCCTTTTCCGATCTTGGGAACTATACTGTCTGTTCTCTAAAACTATATGTTATACTATGTACATTTATTGGTGCCAGTTACACACTATCGCAATGTGGCAAAGAGTCATTAGGTTTTAGTAATTCGAGTCTTCTATTAAAATATCATAATCATCATATCAGCTACAGGACGTCCACTGCTGAACATAGGCCCTCTCCAATGACTTCCAGATAGGCCGGATGGAAGCTACCTGCATCCAGCGGTTCCCTGCGACTTTCATCAGGTCGTCTGTCCACCTTGCGGATGGACGTCCTACGCTGCGCTTGCCGGTACGTGGCCTCCACTCGAGAACCTGTCTGCCCCAGCGGCCGTCTGTTCTCCGCGCTATGTGCCCACTGCCGCTTCAACTTGCTAATCCGCTGGGCTATGTCGGCTACCTTTGTTTGTTTGCAGATTCCATCGTTTTGTATTCGGTCTCGCAAAGAAACAACGAGCATAACCCTTTCGATAACGCGCTGAGCGACCTTGAGCTTCTTTATAAGGTCTATAGTACAAAATTACTAAATACTAATTAATTATTATGTTTAATAATTATTGTTGAATCACGGCAGAGGGCGCGTTGGGCCAGCACGGCAGCTAACTCAAGCAGCCAGTAGCAGCGCGACAGTAGCCGCGTCGCGGGTCGCGGAATGATGCTCATGGATATGAGCCTCTAGTATGGCTTGAAACTAGTCCAGTTGCTCGTCAAACTGTTACGTGAGTAAGCCGAAAACATATTACTTACTTGCAAACCATAAAATAAAAATAATTGTAACATGCTTACCTCTCGGAGATAGTGAAGTCTCCATCGATCAGCGTTGGTACTGTACCCATAGGGTTACGCTGTGAAAAAAATAAAGATAACAAATTAATATTACAATGATTATAGAACTTGCAAGTTGAAGTCACTTCTTAACTATTCAATGATTAAAGTAGATATGTTATAAAATTCAAGTCAAATCAATATATCAATATTCAGTTACTTCTTTCCATATTAATACGAAAAAGGATGAAATAGTTAATACATAGTATTATTTTTCGTTATTAGCATAAAAACATTTTATTTAAAAATGCATAAACCGACTTCAGAAAAGAAAGAGATTGAGAATCTCAAGTTAAGAGATGAAATAACAACAAACTTAATTATTTCTACGTACGTATTTGCCTTCAAGTTTTATAATTATTATTTATGAAATCGTGTTCATGTAAAAAAGATAATTTTAAACATACCTTCAAATGTTCAGGAGACTTGTGTTCGAGTACACCAAAGTTGACGTCCTTGACTTCAAGTTCCAGTCCGATGATGTCTGAGAGTATCCTCACCGCGTTGGCGGGTGGACTGGCATCCATTTTGTACAGTATCGGCGCCATTTTGTGATCTGATTGACAAGTAAAGGTAATTTTTAATTGGAGATCCTCTAACTCCTAATCCCCAAAAAGCCGGTGACGCACTTGTAACGCCTCTGGTGTTCCAGGCATAGTATAAAGAACAAAGTAGGTTATCTTCATACAAATGCTCCGCGCGCGGCTTATATGTGTGCGCCATAGTATCTATGCGTCGACGCACGCACACTTTAACAAATTCTCGACCCGTTTCTCAGTGCGCCAGGCAGGGCTAACACTGCACGAGGTTCGCGCGCGCATCACTTTTCGGCACTGTTAAATGAAATAAAAAATGTCTGATAACCGTAGAAGAACGTATTGCTGTGTGTTTGGGTGTCTTATTAATCGATTCCAGAACTGTCTCTGTTCAGATTAAGTACCTATTGAACAGGAAAGGTAAGCTAGTCACTTTTTCTAGCATAATATAATTTGTAGGTACTTGATGATGAGATACCTACTTACTTATTCTTACTCTTATCATTCTTCATAGTTCCTACTCAACCAGAGAGAAGAATTACCTACTAACTACTATACTTAAATATTATAAGAAAATGTGGTATTGTATTGTTTATTTCACAGTTTATCTGATTTGTTAAGAGCGTGGCCGTGTCGCATTTTTCCATATAAATGTATTCCCAAATTTACTTTCTGAATACTATGTATAGAGCTAAAGTTTATTTTAAGAAGTTAATAATCTTTTTATAAGCTTTTTATTTTTACTAAATTTATAAATTGATAAAATATTCAATCATAATATGCTTTTCATTTCATAAATTTAGATCAAGTGCTGCTTGTTCGAAAATATTAACAAAAAGTAAAAGTGACAACCCTGGGGATCAACGCAAGAGTAGGCTAATAACTCGGCGGGCGGCCTTAGATAACCTACTGTGTTCTTTATACTAGGTATGTTCCAGGTGTCTATGGGCGACGCCGATTGCTTACCATCAGGTGATCCGTCTGCTCGTTTACCGGCTTATGCCATAAAAAAAAGAAAAAAAGAGGCATTGTTTTTATAGGACGGTAAAAATAGCTGTCGTTTCTTTTGGACGGGCCAGTAAACGAGCAGAAGGATCACCTGATGGTAAGCAATCGGCGTCGCCCATGGACACCCGCAACGCTAGGGGAATTACAAAAGCGTTGCTGGTATTTTGGGGTTACCAATTTGAAGAGGATAGTGCAAAAGATCTGAAGAGGTGATATATTACACGAAGCCAAATAACTTGGAGTTATAAGAGCAAACAAGTAGAATAAAATAGGTACATTTAACATAACATCACGCCTTTTAACCCTGAGGGGATAGGCAGAGGTGCACATTGTGCCACTGTACCTCTACAATGTAACTCCCACTTTTCACTATTTATGTCATGAGTCCCATGTAAATATGACTATAGTCATATACCGGGCAGCCTATTGTCATATACTGAATCATTCGATTCATAGACATAGCAATAAACACAAATCTGTTGTTTTTAAAAATGATTGTTAAATCTATATTTGGGTATCCACTTATCACTATCAGTTTACATGTGACATGTGCCCCGTCATCCGATGTGATGCGTACACACATTCACACAACTTTTAGAAGAATAATAATAATTAAATCAATTATCACATGTGTCACATGGATCTTCAATCATTACTTAGTGAGAAACGGGCCGTACGTCGTGATTTTATTTCAGTCATAGTTTCACACACAAACTTTTGATGCAACAAGTATGTGTTTTGAGGACTGTTTGATGTGAAGAAAAATATACATATTACCTCAACAAAAGTTTAGAAGTAACTTTAACATAACAGCACATATTTTATCCCCGAAGGGGTAGACAGAGGTGCACATTATATGGCACTGTGTAATGTAACATCCATTTTTCACTATTTTATATTATAAGTCTCATGTGATAGAGGAGCCTAGTGCCATATACCGGGCACAATTCCAGACTCCGTACTACTCCGATACCCCTTGCTCGGCAGTCGCACTTGCGACCACTCGGCCAATGAGGCTGTCAATATAATAAATAAATAATAAAATAAGTAAACCGGCGGGTATACCTATATTTACAAAATATGCTATATTTACAAATATAGTGTTATAAAACATAACAAATTTTTTTTATCATTTAATTAAGAAAATTAAATCCGAACAAAGATATGAAATTTGGATTGATGGGCGGTGGCAGTATTAAGATAAGATTTATAAGTAAGTTCCTAGATATGAAACGTCTGCTCCTATCAAGTTAATTGTGAGCTTAACACCATTGTGAAAATAAATAAAGATTGCAGTAAAAAGCAAACTTTACGTGTGGGAGTGACACCACAGCTTTGTGTGAGTGAGGTTACCGGAGGCCCAATTACCCCCACCCTTCCCCAATCCCTAAATCCGGAACAATCCTCTAATTCCTAATCACAAAAGTCGGTACCGCACTTGCAACGCCTCTGGTGCCCAGGTGTCCATGGGCGACGCCGATTGCTTACCATCAGGTGATCCGTCTGCACGTTTACCGGTTTATACCATAAAAAAACTATTGTAGTTCATATCCTCTTTGAAGATTTTTATTTTTAACTTTATATCTAATCTAACACTTATTAAAGTAGAAAATAAAGATACCTAAAAATATGCCTAGATACACAATTACACACACATACAATCTCACTCCTATATCCTAAGAAACAGATCATAAAATCGCTTGAACGAGATGTAAATAACACTAAAGTACATTAACATGTAATGCTAATTTGTTTTTACGTTTAAAATTCAAAGCAAACTCACCGTGTGTTTAGAAGCAAGGTCTGCTGACAACTGCCGAGTATAACATACTATTATATAAGTTATTCATGTCCATGTGTAGTAGATATATAATCGTGCATAGATAAGACAAGTTTCGTACATCGTACTGACAATGCATAATGCTATTTATGTTATCAGTTCGACGATGATACGACAAAATAACTGTTTTTCTTTTTATGTGATGATTATTGTTTTCATTGAAAGTAAATTAGAGTTTTAATTTGATACTAACTATTGCCCGCGACTTCGTCCGCGTAGAATATGAATTTTAGGACATAAATATTTTTGTTTCAATTTTCCAAAATAAAAGTAGCCCATGTTACTCTTTACATCAGAGTACGTTCGTACGAGAGCGCGTTCGGCGCTCCTGATTGGCCGGCTCCAGTAAACCAACCAATCAGAGCGCCGAACGCGCTCGATACTATTACGTTACGATTGCGATAGTTATTCGTGCTTGGTATTCTGCTAACTGCCAATAAAAATCCCGTCATAATCGGTCCTACCATTCTAGAGATTAGGCAGTCCAAACAGACAGACAGACAAAATTGTAAAAAATGTTACTTTGGTAAGAATGCATATCGAATTCATATGCATGTAGTAAAAAGCGGTTATTTTAATATTATAAACAGGCACTCCAATTTCATTTGTCTGTATAGACTTGATTGATTGACGTGGATTTGATTAGAACGGTACTCTGCTGAAATGTGGTGACAAAAATTAAGTAATATTATTTGCCAAGATATTGTTTGTAACTAAATATACTGGGGTTAGTAAATTAATTCTTAGTTATTAGCCGCCTTGGTAGTAAATGCCTGCCCACATATCTTGATATAACAATATCAAAAACGCTAGGATCAAATTAAAATTCCCTAACTTCTTCGCCAAAATAAAAATGAATGCAATCGTCCGATCACATCGGCAGACAATGACACGACCTTAGCACAATAAATTAACTGTTTCAGGTAGGTACTAAGTGTCTAGGTATGTACTCAGTTGATATAATAATGAACACTATGTTGTAATAAATGTGACCTGAAGGACTGTTTTATTACATAACATCTATATTATGTTAATATATTTATATAGATATATTATATATAGGTATATTTTTTTTAAGGGGGGAAAATCATCGAATGACTGCACCCGCCTGGGTGAGGCGGAAGGGAGTGTCAGACTCTTACTGACTAAAAACCACCCCGTTCCTTCTCCTGCACGTCGAACCGCAGCCCCGGTTACCCGTTAGGTTCTCCGCGACTATATAGGTATATTAACATTATATAGTTACACTATTTATAACTCAAGAACGGCTATATTGATTTGTAACTGGGGAAATAACATAGAATCAGGAGACGCATATAGAATACTTTATTTCCCAAGGTTTTCTAGAAAATCCTACGACAACGGGAAAAAACTGAAATGCGTGTACAAAGTAATTTAGTAATTTACTTAAGTACTTATATACTTATTTGCAGAAATATGTTTATCATTACAATGTACCTACCTATTTCTCAACAGTAACTATGGCTTCCTTAGCGCAGAAGCGAGACGTTTAGAAACCATTCAAACTTTATTGAGATCAAAACAATAGTATAGGTCGTTTCTAGTATGTACCTACTGCGTAATTTTCGCTGTCAAAAACTAATTGTTTTGAATTTTTAATATTAATCATATTTTCATAAATCGATTTGACAATATTCGTACTACCTAAGTATATTATTTTAGTATTTTTCCAGTAGTTTTCTTTTAATTATGCTATTTAAGTGTGGGAGAGCCATGCTTCGGCACGTATGGGCCGGCTCGACCGGAGTGATACCACAGCCTCACAGAAAACAGACGTGAAACAACGCTTGCATTGTTTCGTCATGTGATGACCCCCCCCCCCCTTCCCCAATCTCTCCAATCCCTAAATACCATACAATCCTTAAACTCCTAATCCCTAAAAGGCCGGTAACACACTTGTATTGTAACGCCGCTGGTGTTCAAGGTGTCCATTGGCGAAGCCGATTGCTTACCATCAGGTGATCCGTCTGCACGTTTACCGAATTATCCCAAAAAGTTTGTGCAAAAAAAATCAAGTCATAATTAACGATGTATTTCAAAATTATAAAAACAGACCCATTATAGTCAGAATTTTAATTAGATTCCAGATTTGACAATAGCTACTGTCATTTTGTGAAATAATGATACCACATATAATAGTGTA